AGGAGGAAGCGGCTAACTTAGAAATCAAAAAAGCTGGGAGGTTGAAATTTTAAGGGGATGTTCGCATCCCATGCACAGCTTGAAGATTTCATACCCCGCACCAAGATAAGCACCCTGGTCAGGTGCGACCTCTCGGAAGTTTTAGTGGGAAAATTGCTAATTCGGGGATCAGAAAAGCTGGAAATCTGAAATTTTAGGAGATATTCCCGATCCATACACATCTTAAAAGTTTCAAATTCAGCCTCCAGGCGCACTTGTTTCTCGTGTACGGGCAATTAAATTTTTCGTGGTAAAAATTTTACTGAACAGCTGTGTCCTTTCAAAAAAAACCGACCTCTAAGTGGAAATGGATTATTTCCGTTTATGCAAAATTTACAATAATCTACGGTATTGAGCGCACAAGGTAGGTGTGAAGAAACAACCATTCATGCAGTTAACTCCACGTGCTTGGAAAGCTGAATTTGACATTTTTAAATTGCACGTGGACAGGGTGCCTCCCCCATGCATAGCTTGGGGGTGAATTTTAAATATTTGAGTTGTACGTCGATAGGGAACATTACCCCAAAATTTCAGCTTTTTAGCTTTCCTGGTTACCCGAGTTAGCAATTTCCCCCTAAAACTTTCATAGCCCTTACGTGAGAGGCTGAATTTGAAATCTTGGAGGCTGAATTTGAAATCTTTAACTAGTACGTACACAGAGAATATCCCTACGAAGTTTCAGCCCCTTAGCTCATGCGGTTCCCGAGATCGCTTTCCGCCAAAAAATTTGCATATTTTTTTGAAGTGTCCATACGCGACACCTAGGTGTCCATGGAGGATGAAATTAAAGCGGGAGGGTCGCGCATAGTATGGGCACATATTCCCAAGGTTTCAGGCTTCTAGCTTTTCTGTTCTCAAATTGAAAGTGGGTGACAAAAAATGCGAACACGTAAACACACACACATACATACACACACACAGACAGCCTCTTCCCAATATTTGTTTTTGCAATTCACATATATGCAAAAACGTATAAAAATGTACTTACCAGCTTCTATATATTACTTGCATTCTGTATTTTTGTGCTTGTGCTTATTTTGAATAGCTTTTTCAAATTTCAGGCTACTCGGGTAACTGTATATGTACTGCTGGTTGAGACGCTATTCGGTGCGCTCCCAGGTATAATTAGCTTTTTAGCATCAGTCGCCGAATCGATGAAGCTTATCGACGCCATGGGCTATGCAGTTGGCGTTTGCGCTTCACTGAACGGTGTTTGCCATCCGTTCATTTTTGCATTCGCGCATCGTGATTTCAAAGAAGTCTTGCAGCGCCGGGGTGGCTTAATCCAGAAAATATCGGCAACTAGCTCACACTTCACCAATGGAAGAGCTCCAACCATTATTGGCAACATTCCTGGTAATAGAGGTCAACTGGGAGCACCATCGATGGTAGTCTGTCCTTCACACCTTCAAACCTCAGTTGCTAGCAACTTAAATCTTGCTCCACTGTCGGAAAGAACCAAAAAAAGCATTTTCACCCACAACTTGTATAACAGCTCATAGAAGAAAAAGATCGTTGGAATTAACAAAGAGGTAAAAAATTCACCAAATGAGGCATGAGACAAAACTGAAGCAAACGAGGGGTCTCTTGTGAAAACGTTTTGTGACATATCATCTTTACTGACTTTAACATTTAAAATTCTTAGGGATGGCAGTTTTTACGTTGAATTTTATTGGAACTGTATGCTTCCTTTATAGATCTTGTACTTCACAGTAACATTTACTTTTTTCCTTTTTGAACGACAAAATGGGGAAATATTCCGAAAGACTAGGAATACTCGGAACCGACTGAAAGCGGATAATTTCTAAAGTGCTTTCAGTGGCTCGTTGGTAAAAAGAAACCGAACTGGTACCATTTCTAGAAATATTTTTTGTCATATTTAGGATAGAAAGGTCTGGCAGAGCTCTGCCCTGCACGTGTGAACATTCCAGTAACATTACTAACTGATAATCCGGGCTGTCTTGGTAATCCTGGCACAGGAATGCTTTTTTATGTTCACATAAATTCACAAAAATTTTTCCAGTGTTGATCACTAAGACGTAAAATTTAACATATCTTGCAAACTTATTCCAATTGCGTCACATTAACTGTGTGGAGTTCCGGAAGTTGTCATGACCATTGCTACATCCTCTGAAGTTGGCCTGCTGGTAATGCTGGCATTCATTAAAAAGTATTAGTTTGAATTTGAACCTAAAATCACTGTTGGTTAGGGGCCAAGAAAATTTGGAAGGATGGTTTCGAGATGTTCACTTTCACCGTAATGAGAAGCATTCCTTGGATAAGCAGCATTTCTAGCTTCCTTTGTTTTCGAGTGGAAACACTGACCTGAATTTGATTTTCAAAGCGAAGGTCAGAATAATAACCTGAAAGCTGACTTTGGATTTCTGGCTACATCTGTGAATTTTGATTGTTGTAATAAAAAATAAATCCAGCTTTTCAGCTTCGATTTCTGAACTTCAATCACCTCACGTTCATGCACACGAAAAAACCAGACAAATATACAAGCATGCCACACACACATGGGGAATGGTGCCACAGTAACCCTCTTTTGGCCCATGCAGGCTTTGCAAGAACATAAAGACGGCAGTCATAATAATTGGCCAACACACGGGCTGCCCGTGCAAAGATGCGTTTTTTTGCATAGCTCCCCGCAGATTTTTGTCGCTAACGGCGCTGTTTTTTCCGGCAGATGCTTCTAGCTAAAAGAATTTCAAACTAATCGCCGGGCCTGTCAGGAAACTTTCCTTTAAAATTTCATCCTTCTAGTTTCTCAGGTTTCCGAGCACGTGCGTGGGTACTATGCATACCCAGTGCTTGGGTTTGAGCTCATTTACGTCTATGTGGAGAGGGGACATTCCCTTTAATTCCACTCTTCCTGTTTCTCAGATTCCCGAGTTAGCAACTTACATAAAAAAACTTTCAAGGGCCACACGCAGGAATGACTCATACCCAGGGGCTAGATTTGAACTCATTAATACCTACACAAATGGGGGACATTCCCTTAAAATTCCAGTCTTCTAGCTTCTCAGGTTCCCGAGTTAACAACTTTCCCGGGAAACTTTTCACGGGTCCGTACGTGGGTACCTCGCATAATCAGGGGCTGGATTTGGACTCAATGAGATTCTCCGTCCACTTCTAGCTTTTCAAGTTCTCGAGCTAGCAGCTTATCTAAAAAGAATTTGACGGGCCAGTACGTGGGTCCCACGCATACCTGAGGGCTGGGTTTGAGCTCATTGAGACGTACGTGAACGGGGAACATTCTCTTCAAATTTCGGTTTTCTGGCTGTTCTGATTCTCGAGTTAGCGACTTACCAGCAAAGTCTTTAGGGGCTCCTACGTGTGTATCACGCGGGTAAAAGCGCCCGTTTTGGGGATTAGAGCATATACGTTCATGTAGATTAAGTTTCCAAAGCTTCAGCTCTGCAGCTTTTGTACGTCTCGAGATGAAAAATCGGTACAGAGGCCCTGCGCACACACAGACAACCCCTCGTTAATATGCATTTTCTGCATTGCATAGCTGCAAAAAACGTATAAAAATCAACGCATCAAAAACGAAGGCAATACAGTCTGGAGGCAAATTTTGCCTATAGGCTGTACTGCCTTCGTTTTTAAAGCCTACGCGCAAATTTTAGGCACAAGAGATGCATTTGAAAAAACATTTACACGTCGTTGCGCCATGACTAGTTCTTATGCCTGTACCACCAGGATGCGATCGTACAGTTTTTGCGATCAGCTAAAACGGTTGTGCGGTATCCAGTGTTAGTGATGTTGCTCGAATGCCCCCAAATGCTGGAAAAACAACTAAATTCTTTTTTCGTAAATCTGTTGCGTGCTCAAAGTGATTGAAAGCGTCAAAAAATACAGGATTGTGGGTTTAGAAAAAAATAACTGGGAAAATCCACAAAACTAGTAGTGCGTGCCAGAGGCTTAATTAGTGCGTGATTACACTTTTTTTTTATTTACAATTGTGAGGATTAAAAAATCCGATTACGTTGTTTTGATGACTTAATGTTTTCAAAGCGCCTTTTTTAGTTCCGAAAATAGCCTAAGCTTAAGCTTGAGTTAGTCACTCTAGAACAATTTAATTACCTAATTCGAGTTTCTGGGTTCTAGCTCTCCAATGGTCGCAATGAGCCAAATTACATAGGTCTTTTTCTTCGTCCAAAAAAAGCTTTATTTTGAGATAGTACCTCTGCTACTTTCCCATTGTTGCCAGCTTATCGCTGGCGGCGCCTGTCATGCCAGTTCTA